ATTATCCTACTGCATGCTTAGCTGAACAAGTGTGTCCAAATTAAACTCAAATTGATTTCGATGTAATCAGTCGACATACACTGCTGTCTGCCTGTGTGGACTCTAACAAACCATTCCCATGTATTAGCATTGTTATCAATAGAGTCGGTAATGGCTGAATCTTGTTCCATATTGCCTGATGATGATGATGACGAATTAGCCGAAACTATTTTAATGTATTAATTTGGTTTTCTTTATTTATTTGAATAATGCTACCACATTGGGAGACTATAGATAATCTTTCATATATTTTAAATTATGTTCAAATAATTCAAGGTAATTACAGCACCCCTTATAATTTTCGGACTAGGATATTTCAAAAATTAATGTCGTTAAATAATTCAAATTTTCGCAAAATAAATTAGATATTAAAGATCTAAGGATTAATGAATTTTTAAGTTTTAATTTCTTCCAGTTTCCGAAAATAAAATCAAGAATTTAAATTTCAAAATATAATGAAAATACAAGAATCCCTCAATAACACTACTTTGAATGCATTACCCAAATTTCAGCTTTTTTTTTCAAATTGGCCAAAGTTAGAAGCTAAAAAGCCAGGTCAAGTGCTTCCTCCTGGTGTAATGCGCTTTTAATTATAGTACTGTACACTCTAAGTCATCATTTGTATCTTGCTACGAAAGTATGAGGTGGAACAGACAGTGTCGAAAAAATAATGGTGTGATATATCAAGGTTCAGTATTTTTTTTTTTTGGGATATACCTCAATTTCAAGATTTCTACCGGCAGCACTGATTTTTCTAATTAACAACATCGGGATGGACTGAAAAAGAGAAAAGAAAAACTTCAACTTTTAGAGAAAATGTTATTCTTCATAAAAGCTTTTGCTTGTTTCAAAAATAATAATAATAATAATAATAATAATAATTTCAAATAGAGATGAGACTTTTCATGAAAAGTAATTTTTGAATGTTTTTAAAAAACACTTTGGGAACAATATTTGCATTTTTATTTTCGTTTTTTTAGGCAAATCATTTGTAAGATACTTCCAACCTTTGGATTTTTCAAGAGTTTATTTTAATAAGATATGAAACGAAAATTCGAAAACATCGTTAAAACATTATAAAAGTCAGTAAATATTTGTAGTTTCTTCTTTCTTAAACTATATTTTGCTTTTATTTGTAAAAAAATCAGACGAATTAGTTCTGAAACAAGCAAAAACTTTTATGAAGAATAAATTTTTTTCTAAAATAAAAGTTTTTCCTTATCTTTTTCAATCCATCCGGCGACATTCTGTATATATTTTCTATTGGTCTCTTGGAGTTAATGCATTAGTATCAATTGCACTCGTCCGTTGTAAGAGTGCGACGGAGAGAGCAAACTGATAACTTTTTTTAAACATTTCATCTATTTCTTCAGTTTCTTTTTTGGGCAATATCCTCCAGGACAATAAATTCACTCAGTCTTGCAACTTTTGGAAATCTTAAATATTACTGCAGGCATTAGGCATTGCCACTCTTCTTTAACAATACTATTTATTTTCTTTATCTAATATAAACTTTTAATGCAAATAAGGAAGTTTTTTTGACAATCCCACACAAAGGAATTCACTTTTCACACTCTAGGGCAGCTGCCAAGCATTACACACACCTGAAATTAAACCTTCGATGGATGGACAACCACAGGTTGATTGAAGGCCTTGTACAAGGGATAAAGGTGACAGAGTGGGTACTATGAATTAATATAGTGTTAAATAATAAATACAATAACCATTAGGCTGCAGTGTTAACAGAGATTAAGTCAGGCGAGTCCAGGAAAAAACCAGTGGAAGACGCATCGTTAATAAAAAAAGAGGTTGTTACTAGTTGAGATATGAAAATTGTTTATTATACTAAGAATTGTTTTGAACATTATGTAAAAAATTATAAAATATTTTTATTGAAAATACGGAATTTCAATTAAAGTTTTAAATCTAAAGAGCTAAATACAAAGTAAAATAAACAATTTTTATATTTGTTCAAATTTCACATTTATGATCGCCTCATCTCAACTGACAAAAAGTTAAGGGGAATAGTTTTTCGAACTGAAGCGCCAATATAACCCGTTGTATAAAAAAACTTTCAAAACAGGATTTTATCTAGAAATACAAAATGTAATGATAGTAGAAGTAGATGAGTTTCGCTTAAAACGTGACATCACAATAAGTTAATATTTTGTTAACAAACTTTTTGTAAAATTTTAATAAAACTTATTTTCAGTACATATTTCGAAAATTTCAATAAAATTAAAGAAATTATATCATTTAATTAATTAATCAATCAATATTTTTTTTTATAATATAAATGAAAATATATGGAGTATCACTGCTAAAGTTGGCATCTTATATGGGATTTTTTTTAATAATTAGAGTTCATGAAGAGTTTTTGCGTTGAAAATAATAAAAAATTACAATTTTTTGTCGATCAGCTATACCTATCAAATTTGACATAATTTCAAAAGAAAACAATAAGTTGGGTTATTTCTCAAAATGTTAAATGTAAATGTTTTCTATTAAGCATTCCAAACAAAATGGCTGGCAGTAGGTTTTGACAGGTGGTTATGATATGGTAATCTTGCGGAACTGCATTGGGATTCTCATCTTTGAATATGGCACGTGTTGAGACGACTATCTTCGTTCCACAACTTGGGATTCTTATGTAATGTCTCTCTCTATTTGATTCGTTACGTGTTGAGTTCGCACATAAGAATCAGTCCAGGTGATTTGACAGGGTCAATGACATAGATAGTTATATAGATTGATCATCTATGTTTTTCAAAATAAACATAAGTAAAAATGCAGGTAAATATTTTTTTTTACTATATTTAAGGGCTGAAAATTGGTTTTAAAACACATTTTTGCTAAAATGTTTCTGATTAATGAGCACTTGCGAGGCAATATGGCCGCTCACAAAAACAATCCACTTTGAACAATCTATACAATATATGTATCATTGACCCCGTCAATGACAGCAGGCTACAGGTTTGCCATATCTAAACTGTCGGTTCCCACTTGTTCAGCATTTTGACAGGTTGTTGGAACGCCTAATTGAGAAATAACCTAATTTGACAGGTAGAGTCAATTGACAGAAAAATAGTCGACGTGATTTTTTATTATTTCCCTCTAAAAAACTGTGCATGGATTCTAAATTAGTGCAAACTAAATAAAAAAAAAAAATCCCATATGATGCGCGGTTTACCGATAATACTGTAGAAACAAGAAAATGCATAAATGGTAAATTTCATCTAAACATAGGATTTAAAACATAGAATGGTGCTCAATTTACTTGTTCTAAAATACAATATTATTTAATGTACAAGAGATTCTCGATAATCGAATGTCATTTATTCTAATATTTGCATATACATGATGTCACAATTTTATTTTAACATTAAAAATATCAAATTTGAAAACTTTAAATAAGCCATCTATGACATTCCCAAACTTGGATCATAATGAAAATTATGTAATAAAATATCTCATTTGAAAAATATTTTTAATGTTAAGAATTGTTGAGATAAACTCTCATAATATTTTTGGTGTTAACCATATTTTTCTTCTTAAAAGACAGGTACTGTACAATTTTATATTTCCTAAAATTATAAAAAAGAAAATATAACAAATATATATACTTTTTATTTTAAACTACCTTAATTATAATAAATTTAATATCAATATAAAATTTATAAAATTAAATAAAGCCTAAGTTACAATAAATACAAATTTTGAAAACAACAATGTTCTTAGGTCTTAGTATATAAGTGGTTGAAGCAAAACTGGTTGTTAAATTATATTTTATTGTCTAGATCCATGTGACAACACTTCAACTTTTTGTATGTTTGTTAGGAAAGTCAAAATCTAAAGTGATTAAATCTAAAACAATTGGTAATTTTAATTAAAAAATGTGGTCATGGTTCTAAAATTTATAATTTAAATTATTTCTTTAATATTGGGTTTTTCATAAGTTGAGTCTATTTTTAATAGGGTATAGAATTCCACAACACAAATTATGTGAAATTTTTAAGTTTTAAGTATGGATGTTTCATCATTATGCTGAATTTTTGTGATTTTTTATATACCAATACTTAATTTTAATTATACTGATTCAGTTACAAAACAAAACTCATCCCATGTACACTTTTTTTAAAAAAATTATATCATTTAATATTTTTAAAAATACTAGATGTATTTATTGATTTAATGATTTAATTTGTATGGTACACAACTCGGTGAGAAGAAATATATGTATATGAAACCAACTATTTGTTTATGTTTACGTTTATATATACAGTAAGTTAATTTTCCAACACTAACTCCAGGAGAACAGTATAAAAAAACGATGCTATGGAATATAGAGAAATAAACATTATGTGATATCTCACTAATTGTTGAGATGTAACCATGCGTCCAATCAAGGCAGGTAGACAGGCAAGTCGCAAGTTACTCTCTTTAAACCTCTCACGTCCAAATGTACTTAACTGTATCATCTTTATTTTGCTTGATGTGTTGGTTAACATACTGTATTTCTGTTGAGGATTTTATTTTTGTGAAATAATAGAAACTGGTTTTCTAAACACCGATTTAAATAATCTTCCCCAGGGTTTACACTGAGAAACAGAAATAAGTTAACGGTAAACAGATGTCACCGAGGTGGCTCTAAATATACCATATAATGGATCTTAATAACCAAGATACAGAGTGTATTTTATAAATAACTACTTGCTGATTGAGTTATAGGTTATAGTTCGCTAATCTGCTAAGTAAATCAGCCCTTAGTTTGTCAAAAATTTAGTTTGATAGAAATTGAATATTATATAAAAATTATTTAATGTGCACTCATTCTAAACTTATTAAACAATTATTAACTAAATATGTTTCTATTTTGATACCTATAAACCAAATGTGTAATTACACAGGTCCTCACTCGTAATTTTTAAACATATTTTCAAACATTCACACGTATACACTTTTAAAATTGGTATTGTGTTAATAGTATTATTCTAATAGTGAAAATAATAGCAAGTAATAGAAACAGGATTTTATATTTCAAAGGAAACTGTAAATTATCATTTCGGCAATCTGTCTAATGTTACGGCGCAGCACAATTTTCTTCTTTTTTCATTGTCTTTTTCTTTGGATGTATGGGTTCAGTTTTTAACTAGCACTATCTGAGGTCTACCTGGCTTGCCAAGAAGAGCGTGTTAGGTCTCTTATGGCTAATTTTTGTCAAATAAAAATTGTTATAAACGAAACACTAGCACTGGGTAAATAGTGAAAAACTGAGCCCATACAACAGTAGAAGTCAAGGAAAAAAGAAGAAATTTATGCTGATGTCTAAACATCAGACAGATTATTGTTAGTAATTTATTTGTTAGTCACAAAGAAAAGTGAAGTGAAAAAATCGGTTAAGATACGAAAAACTAAAATGCAATTTTGGAAATATGAAAATATATAATACTCAATTCCACATACTTTAGTATTTGTGTATTTTTCACAATTTCTTGTTGGAATCGGAGATCATATATTTTACGTTCTCAAAATGTTATTGTTAGTACTAAAGTTATATTCGTCATATATTTGACTCAATATTAAAATGAAATTACGATTTTAGAATCTATATATAAATAGGCAAAGACTAAATAGTTCAGTGCCATTATCTCTTCTGTTTGTGAATCGATTTTCTTTTTATAGTTTTGTTTAGTAGTTATTGACGAGCTTTAGTGATAACAATAAAAAATATTTGGAAACAGTATTTTTTTTCTACCTTCCATATATTAAATCCATTAATTCACAATTATGAATTATGATTGACTAATAAAAGTAGTCTATTGCGAACATGAGCACCCTTTAATTTCGAACCGACATGGATATTACATGGACGAATAGCGGTTCGCAAAAAACGACAAAAAATTACTTTTCCCCACTTCTCCAACTTACCCCTCTCCCTTCCTCTACCATGCCTAACTGGTAAAAAAAAAAAAAAAAAGCAGGGGGGCCTAAAACCATTTCAAATTGCCCAACTCTCTCCCAACCCTACTTCACCTACCACCCCCAGGGGAGGTCGATGTATAGAAACCTAGACTTGAGAAAATGAACTTCGGGTACCACGGATTGAACCCCTAGACTTAGGAAGAAAATGAACTTCAGGTATGGCAGATTGGACCCCTAGACTAAGAAAAATGATCTTTGGGTAAGACAGATTGGATTTTGAGACAAAAAAAAATTCCCCCCCAAAGGACAAGTCACTTCGCTCCCCTCTAAATGTAGGTAGGAGGGGGGTCCCCCTCTAAGTGTGGGTGGTGCTGAAAAAATTTTTCATAATTCGAGTATTTTGAGATATTGGTTGTACATAATTAAAAAATTAGAAAAATTCGAAAAGTAAGCCAACCTCTTCCCCCACTCCTTTTTTTGGATACCAGTTCTCGACCACTGATTGGGTGAATACTAGTTTTTCTAATTGTCCTAAAATAGGATGAAAATGGGTTAATATTTCCAAATTCCTTTTATTAATTAAAATTGCAAGTACGGATCTGTAAATACACACTGGAGTTGTTTACTGGTATAAAAATAGAAAAATATGCAGTTAACAATTTTTAATATGTTTAGAATGAATTAATACTAAATCATTTTTATGTTTTAATATTATCAATCCGCAACATTAATTTTTTTACATACTAAATGCACGGGTTCAAAATTCGTGTAGTGAAATTGTATGTAAACGAATTTTGAAAATTCTGATAGATGTTATTTTGAGGACAAAACGATTTATTTATTTTTTGTTAATCCAGACCTGAATTTTTCTTGTGACTAGTACATTATTTGTTTAAGCAGTGGGTGCAAAAATAGATGATTTATTACTTATGGCCCTAAAAATAAACGACCTAAATCGATAAGCTCGGTTATAAAGACTGCCAGAACTATTAAATATGGTATATTTCAGTTTCTCAATGAAATACCCTGTATAAGTGACCTAGGAGACACTCCCCTTTAGAAATTTTAAGCGATCAACTGAATAATTCTAGTTTATTACTTCAGTTGGTTTTAAGAGTGATTTAAGGATGTACCTGTTTTACAGTAATTTTGAACAATTATTTTTCTAATTGGGAAACGTTATTTGTGAATACGGCTGATGTGTATGAATAATTGGTGTAGTCGGATTAAAAATCAAGTAATTGCTTAAATACTTAAAAATCAGTAACAAATAGTATTTTTCAATAAATAAAAATTTGACTTTTGAATAATGTTCTCAGAAGGTTTATCAAATAATCCTAATTTCCAACTTTTATAAGCAGTATTTATTACCGATTTTTAATTAAAAGCAATTGCATTCATGTTTTTAGCCTGCGGGAGTAGCGTGGATATGCGGCTGCTTCATCTAGAAACAGGCACGAACTTCAAATTTTCTAGACGGCAGAATAAAAAGAAAAATGTAAGGAATTCATTTTTTTTCTCTTCACTCAGTCCGAAGACCTCACTAAAACATTCAACTGGTAGTAGTGGCGGACGGTACAACATATTCGGTCATAAAATTTGATGTACCTCTATCCTAAATAAGGACATTAAAAATAAAAACTCAACTTTTCAAACACCCTGTGTAAAAAACTAAAATTATATTTGTACTAGGCCAAAAATTGCACACTCAAGAACAAAATCGTTTGACAAAATATATTTTTGCTATAAAGCTTATTATGTAATACCTACTTTAATGCCACACTGTGTATAGACATTTTTCACTCATGATTCATAATTTTAAATACGGCATGAATTTAGACAAATTGTTTTCAACTTTATTTAGAGTTGCATCAGAAAATTTATTTTCATAAAATTATTCTATAAAAAATAACATGTTTGAACAGCAGAGGTGCTCAAAATATTTAAATGCTATCACGATAAAGCCCAATAATAAGACTAAAAGGTATATTATTCAATGTTATTGCAATCTTTAAAATCACATAGTATGCAGTAGTTAAAATCCATTTAACTCCAAAAAAAAAGAAAAGATAAGTAATTCTTTGTATTATTACAAAACAGAGATACAAAATTTCAACTAAAATGAAATAATTTTGTATGAATTATTCGCCCCTCTACTCTATCAAATTGATAACTTTAACATAACCCACTTTTGCTCAACTTTAATAATTAATATATTATAGTAAAAGTAAAAAGAAAAAATAAAGCCAAACATTATGTAACAAAGTTAATCATTTCTTGGGGATACAGTTGTCTGAGCCGGAGACTGGTCATTCTCTGATTCGCTTGCTTCAGTCTTTGGCTTGTCCTAGAATGTATATAGATAGTATTACATTAAAAGTTTCATAAAATTAAAGTTTACAAGAAATAATAAAGTGTTGCTTTTAGAATTACCCTGTACTGAACGATTTAAATTTTAACTGCACTTAATTTTTTTATATTACGTAATTCACAAATTTTTGGTTACATTCTTTAATTAGAAAGCCTACGTGCCATGTGAATGTACGAATTTGAAAACCATTTTGCCTAAATATCTGATAATATGAATTATTAAAAATAAAAATGTTCCACATAAAATCATTGCTAACGAAAATATTGAGAAAATTCGAATTTTGCTCTTTTCCTGAAATTTCTCTCTTATGGCCCATTTTACAAAAATTATGTATACAACAAAATTAATAACAAACACTTATTTAAAGAATTTTCTTCTCTTATCATAAATAACAGATATATACCTTAAAGTAGACAAATCACCCACAAACAAAATCTAATTAGCAAGTTTAAAATTTAGTGTTTTTCTCTTTATTCGTTTTTAAGTTATCTTGAATAGACAAACAGACACCGTGAAAATGGTCAAAACGAACTCAGTTAACCCCAAAACGTAAAGATCCGTCGAAAATTCGATATCAAAAATCATATTCGTTCCTTAGTGGTTACCGGAAAGTTAAAATATATAGACATTGTACAATATTAACTTACCTGTAAACTCTTTCTCAATTCATTAACCTGGCTTCCAGTGTACAATCGTTTTATCCCACGTGGCAAAGCCCTACATGACTGTAAATTGATAGAGTACAATTTTGGACACTTTTCCAATACTGTTTTCACTGGGTCAAGGCTTACAGAGGAACCGCACAGATTTAAGATTCTACAAAAAAACCACAATCAACAAAAATTGAAAACAGAAAATGTATGTATACTTTGAATTACCTTAACTTAGATTCTGCACCCTTTTCAGCTAATGCCAAAACAGCAGCATCCAGAGGATTGGTTGCAGTACTCCAGGCCAAGTCGACTTCAATCAAACTATGAGACCACTTTTGAACAATTAACTCAAGTCCAGAATTTTGTAATCGGGTTATATAACAAGCTGAAATACAAGTATATTAAGGATGATAATGTTTTTTTGACAAATTATTACAGCCGGTTGCGAGAACGTTCATATATTGTATTGTCATTCGTTATTTGATTTTAAACGCATTTGCGAGCACATATAGTCATGCATGGAGAATAATGCCTATGTTTGGGTACATGGCAGTTGCTCGTAATGACGGATAGTGAAATGAATAATGAGATTGATCTATATTACCTAAATCATAAATTTTTACGTATCCTGTTCAAAGTTCAAATTAACAAGGAATGTGTCAGTTCACTAAAATTGACTAGTCTGATAAACTTTGACAGATGTTTAGACTGAGTAATTCACGTCATTTAACAGATCACATGATCAAGGTATTACAAAGTTTATCAAATTATCAGGCTCGTAAATTTTAATTAACGTTCTTGTAACTGGCTGTTAGTCTTATAACTTAATATTATTTATACGAGACATAGTCAAATGAAGTTTACATTGTACCAGGAAGAAGACCATAATAGTAGTTTATGTTGTAAGGACGAAAGTTAAATTTTTCAGGCAACTGCGAGAAGTTTGAATGGCAACTCGTAGGAGTCCGAAAATACACTTTTCGTCCGTGTTTCATACATTATTTTTTATTTGAATATGCTCATAGATATTAAAAAAATATAGAGAATTAAATCCAAAATGATATTATTTCCAATTTTTCGTATAACTGAGATGGCTGTGATCGATAAGAATGACTAGATAGGGCTGGGCCTTAAAAGTATTTTTATTTGAAGTATACTTAAAAGAAATCCTTTTCGAATATGTTTTTTGTCCAAAAAACAATGTTTTATGACACATTTGAATAAAAGGAGAACTTTTAAATAATATACTACAGATGAACTACTAAAAACTACTATTATGTCATAAGGACGAAAAGTTTATTTAGTTTTCTCTTATTCAATTAAAAATGTTTCTATTCAAATTTGATGTACATAATGGATTATGGACTGCTATTTTACAATAGCAAAAAAATATCGCCAGCAGTATTAAAAGATAAATAAAAAATAAAACAGAATGTTTAAATAGCCGAGCCTATTTACTTTTGAGGCCTGGGGCTTAAAAGCACTTTTCAGCAGTTCATTTGTAGTATATTTAAAAGTTCTCCGTTTCGATTATGTTAAAACGAAGTTTTATGTCACATTCGAATAAAAAAGTTCTATTAGTTTCTTTTGTACAGTGAATTAAGCCACAATATGAAAATTAATGTTCAGCATTCCAGCAAGTTTATAAATGGAGCAACAAGTTAAAAAAATGTATGATTGTCTAAATCTATTGACAAAGTATTAATCTCTCAGCCCACTGCAAAAAGTGGCACATCACTTGATCTTTTTTATTAGACTTAGAAGCTTTGATACTAGCTTCAGTATGTAGTTCCATTCATCTGGTTTTTCTTCGCCTAATGTTAGAAACTCCAATCTAACCTGGCCTTCACACTGGTACAGGACATGGATTGATGTTTCTTCTTCTTTACAGAACCTGCACACAGTTGGATTGATAATACTCATGTGCCTTCTTAGAAGACAATATCCAGTAAGAAGACCTACTGTTACCCTAACGATTTGACGTTTTTTATCCAGTAGATCTTTCATGATTTTATTTATTGTACTGGAAAAACTCCCGATGGTTCCTTGATGAACTGTTTAGCCTGTCTCAATCTTGGATAGTTGTTCCATCATTCCTGAGGCTCTTTTTGCACCCATTGTTTGATGGACGCCTTGCACAATCCCTTAGCAACTTGACAAAAGGGTTCGGGGTCTGTCATGGCCTTATCTGGTCTAATTCCATTCGTGAGACAAAAAATACTTTAAATTTATTTTCAGAAATGTACTTACAAAGTCTTATTAAGAGGGAAGATTTTAACGCATATAAAAGATATTACTCCTAACTGCTGCTATCTGAGAAAAAACAATTTTACACAAAAAAAATAATGATTCCGCTAATAAAATAAAGGCTATTTTATTTGGCAACCCTTCTCCAAAGCTTCCGACAGGAAGTCGACGTAGGTAACTAGATTTAATTCAGTCCATTTTCCAGCACAAAAACCATATTGATGATCCATTATGATGCCAGAGCAGTCATAGGTAAGGTAGTATGTTATGTTTTCAAAAACCTAGGTATAGTACTGAGAATAGATATAGGTCGGTAATTTTTGACGTCTGACTTGCTACCCGATTTGTATATTGGGGTGACATAAGATAGTTTCCAATAATCTGGAAACTCAACTGTGGCGATAGATTTATTGAAAATTGAAAATATTGAACGTTATCAATTAAAGTTGATGACCAGATTGTAACTTCCCAGAACAAGCCTGCAATAAATTTAATAATTACTTTAAAACAGCTGCTTCGCAAATTCTAGGAGACCTAGATATGGACAATGTAGATACAACATAATCCACATTCTATATATCTAGCAAATGTTAAAATACAAGAGCTATCGGAAATAATAAAAAACTTAAAAAAGAATTTGCAAGTGAAGATGATGGGATGGTCTTGTCATGTGGACAATCTCTGTGGTAGGCTTTGCTCTAAAACAATTAGCCAAAGTTGTAAATCAAAACTCTTTGAGATCTGCTTATTTCGGACACTTTTATTCCATTATGTGTTACGGAATTATCTTCTGGGGGTGGTTCTCACAATTACGAGGTCTTTGTGATACAAAAAAGAGTATTGAGAATACTAATTTGGTTGAACTTTAGAGATTCGTGTCGAGGGTTTTTTTTGACAATCAAATCTGATGACGATATTTGGTGCATATGTATATTCTTATATAAATTTTGTAATTTCAGGTTTACTTTAGAGAACAAATTTTTGGTCATACACATAATACACGCGTAGTAGATAGTTGTAGTAGCAACTCATAAAACCACACTTTTTGAAAAAGGATGCTATTTTAAATGCATACAATTTTATAATGTTTCCATGCTATGAAAAAAATATTAAAAATGTAGGTAGATGTAAATCAACCATTAGAAATATCCTAATTGATATTGAGCCCAACTCACTAGATGATATTACAGTTTTAAATACATGTGATAAGATAGGATTCTTTTTCTCTATCAGTATACAAGCATATGTGGTAAAATGGTGGTAATATGATTGATGTAATTACCAATTGCAAATTATGGCACTATGGGTTTTGCTAGGTTTTCCTCTAGTCTTGGTAAATACGCCATTCTTACTCAGTAAGTCGAACTAGCTTGCACAATAATAATACTAAAACATCGTGCAGTTGGTATTTTTGCATCAATTTTTAGTTTCATCGTTATGTAATAGTCTAAAAGACCGTGGGAAGTCGACCTTCAGCCATCTGATAACCAGATGAGGAATATTTTTTATGAAATTTTATTGACTTATTAACACGCCTATGGGAACTTGCCATTCGAAAAGTGCTCATGTCTAATTTTAATCATTTTTTTTTATAAATTTCATTTTTCTGATAACTAAACAAATTTAATTTTAACATAGAGAATATGCCTCGGTAGGCTTGTTTACTTATGAACAGTTAAGTCAATATAGGTAACTACACCAATATGTCAACCAATAAAAATTGATATCAGAAGATAATTTAATTACAAAAATAATCGTATAGGCTTGCCTGCAAAAAACTGTTCATGGAATACTAATGCCATGCTTTAAAGTTCTAAAATCGAAGCAATTAAATATGTGCGAGAGAGAAAGTACAACGTGCGAAGTCCGTGTGATAGAACAGGACACAACATAGCAGCTCCGCGCGACATGTCCGCTGAATGTAACCCAATGCGCGTGCTCTTTTACATGCGATTGACAGAGACAGTGCTTATTTGTTGTTGAAAATTATTTACCTGTTCATATAAGTAAACAAGCCTACTGAGGCATATTTTCTCTGTGAAGAACTATCTGTTAAAATTAAATTTGTTCGGTTATCAAAAAAGTGAAGGTTATAAAAAAATTGAATAAAATTTAATTAATTAAAAATAGCCATGAACACTTTTAGAATGGCAGGTTCCCATAGGCGTGTTAATAAATCAATAAAACTTCATAAAAAAATATGCCTCATCTACTATAATATTCAGTTATGGATATTGACGTGTACAACACAATACATTTTTTATATTGTTCATAGTACAAATAAAGAATTTGATTTGATTTCTCTGAGCTTTCATGGGCTAATTCCTCTGCCCTTTCGTTTCCCTACTGTCCCTTGTGGTCTGGCACCCAGGTTAGGGTCACCCATAGAAAAATATAAAGAGAAGGTTTGAATAAATGGCTGGACTTGTTTCCTTGTTGGTAGTTGAACCGTAAGCGCTTAGCGCGCTGCTATCACTAAATTCAAACCCGTTTTACACCCATAAAAAATATGTTTTCAAAAACAATGACAAAGAAATCAATAATTTTACTGATTTACCCCTTTAAATTTCACTTTAATACAATGTGTGATCAAATATAGGGATAATCGTTAATAAATGTAAAGTTAAAGCTAAATTTAAATATTATGAAATGTGTAAATCTGGCTTTGAAAATAAATTAGGTTATGTTGCCATAAATACGTCAGCCTGATATTTTTATTTTTAAATGTACGGGTGATATTTTTTTAAATGTAGATGAGTAAATTGTATTAATTTAGTGTAAGTTAGATTTAACTAATTTAACTATAGGGATGTTCTTAAGAATGTCATTAACTTCTAATTCATTTAAATTTTAATTGCAGAAGTAAATATTTTTCTCACAAAACTAACCAGAAATTTTATATTTTTCTTGCTATTATTATTACTCTTAGAGATAAATGGATCCACATTTTAAACATTTGTGGTCAAAAAAATTAAAGGAGTTGTTAGCGAAATGTGTGATGCCAATTTACAAACAGATATTTTAGAACCTGAGATAGAACCTCATCATAGTTTTACTCATAAAGACCATGATGAAAAAAGGCGAATGATTTGTGCTCAAAAAGTTATTGTTCATTTTTTGGGTGATATTCATTATTATATTTATCAAATAATACCCAAATATGTTCAGAAACTAATATGATATTTATGTCAACTTGTTAATTTTTGCATAGTTCAGCTACTAAGATCATAAATCAATGTTTTCTATTTTTATTAAAATTTGTATACCTTTTATTGCAAGAAAATATGTAAGAATTTAAAAAAATTATGACTCGTGTTAATTTTTAATTTTAAGATACACACTGCACCTTTATTTTTGTTTTGTTTTAGATATTCCTGGGTATGGAGATTTTTGGAATATGATGCATAAATATCTATCTGAATTAGGGTGTGTTTCAAAGCCCACCTGTATTGAAGCTGGAGGCTTATTGTACCCGAAATAGGCATTACAACTACTCTAGATTGAAATAGATGGGTAAAGGCTTTAAAGAGACAATAAGAATTAGAATATTAGAATTAAAATGATTTGTCCTTGGATTATTAAGTCAGTATTTAAAACAATTGTGTCTATAAATTAACTACTTTTACTTTTTATAAAAACTATATCTGGTTTTTTAATAACAAAAACATTGTCATGTGCTATGCTTGTTATCATATTATATTTTTATTTTTCAATAATTTAGTGTGTGATATAGTGCTTGTTATGTTCAGAATATGCAGTTAGAAGATAATGAGACACATGTAATTACATGGTAATTATAAATAAATTAAACTTGTTAAAAATGTGTTTTGTTTTTTAACTAATTTTATTTTTCAGTTAAAACAAGTGACATTTTCCATTTTTCAACATTTACCTACAACAAAAATTCACTAAACTTATTGTTTGTTTATAGTTGTAAGTAGAAGTTGTCAAATAGGAAAATGTTACTTCAAATTGCTTATAATATCTAAATTATGAAGCCCGCCAATTTTTAAATCGTTTTACTTAATAGTGACCTACTTTATCGACTGAAACTGACATGTGTAGTTCAATCGCAAGCGCTTAGCGCGCTACTGTCGAGGTCAAGCAAACTTGTTACCAACTATACGTTAATTCAGTGATGATGTAATTATGGTTCCACTGACAATTAAAGTGACAGTAGATTTTTTGAGTGCGTTTGGTTTACCTAAATTATATCGTTTTTTAACTTTTATAAATATATTCTTAAAGTAAGTAGATAACATGCATCAAATATACAATCGTTTAGTTACCAATTAAATACCCTTAAACTATTTTTTATGACCTGTAAACAATATTTAGAAATAAACTAAAAACAGTAAAAACGTATATGTTAAATTTATTGATGTTTTTGTTAAAAGTTTGGTTATAATTAAATAACAGTGGAACCAAAATGACATCACACCGAACTAGAGTATTTATATTGAATCTGACTCCCCTGGGGTCACCTTGTTTTGCCTACTTAGCTCTGCCAGGTCTTTTAGCAGTCATGATTTGATTTCTGGTGAGAGAATTGCCTTTAAAGTTGCTAAAGAGTACTTTCTGATTTAGTATTTCTCTTGCACAGTGCTGTATGGCTATTAGTTCAGCCTGGAATACTGTTAAACATAAGACGATATTGCGGAAATTTTTTGTCAGCGAAAGGGTTGATATTTTTGCACTCTGAAAAGTAACCTATTTTTTGAAATAGGTCTAAAAGAGGTATAATTATTTCCAAAATGTTTGTATGACTCTCAACTAAGAGTATTGCCCTTACGGGAATTTTTAATTCAGTGGTTTTACCCCATTCAGCCTTTGACATTGTTACCAATTCATAAAGTTAACATTTTTAAATTTTTTAATGACTTGCTGTTCATAAATTTTAATACTAGTGACTGAATTCTTTGGTATTAATAGCGAGTAAAAAACTTTAAAGATTCTAATAATGGTCATAGTATTAAACTGGAATTCAATGCGAAAATAAAATGATACTTACCACTTAAAAAGAGATGTTCGAGATCCCAGGCTGGTACACGAACTAATCCAGAATCTGTAAGTTTACTGCATCCCCTAACATCCAGCAACCGAAGTTTCGTGCTACATTTAAGCAACCTTTCAATACAATCGTCATCTACCGATCTGGAAGTTGTGGTTTGATCCTCCTCAAGACCAGCAAGGGAAAGTTCTTCCAATTTAGGGAAACCCGGTGAAGCCACCTAGATGAAAATACATTTTTAATTTCACATCTCATTTAGAATGTGAGTAGACTAGTTATTAAAAATTATCAAAACCCCTACCTGTTCAGTTAAACTAGCTGCCGCCAGCCAAATTTGGCTGTTAGTGATCCGAAGCACTCTTAAATCAGGACAACCAATTTGTAACTTCTCAATATGCAAAAGAGACATATTGTGGGCGAACGTTCTGATATTGGATATATCCAGAAGGTGTAAATTCGGACAATTAGTCTAAAAAAGTTTTTAAAAGATTAGCAAATCATTTCAAAAGATGCATTTTATTTTTTACTTACTGAAAGCGCTGCCATAATTTGTGTAAAATTAGCAATCTTGTTGTGAGCCAACACCAATTGTGTTAAACGGGATGACATAGCTTGACTTAGATTTACTAATGGTTGTGCATTTATAGGTGAAGTGAACTAAAAAATAAATAAACCTTCTTAGATACAAACAGAAAAGCTTTAATACATGTTGCAACTTGCTGAGATATAGGACCTAAGTTGAATAACGATTTTTGGCTTTCAATTTTTAATTACTTAATATTATACTAAATTTAACAAGTTGTGTCGCTGACCTAAAGGTGGCTTATAACATGGATAATGATACAAAAAATTACAAAGGTATGATACTTAGCCAACAAAATCTCGTCAAGTTCGCACATGACGTATTGTGGTGTGGAATATGATAATTTGATTGGCCATAAGCAGATTAAAATTTAATTTCGCGCGTTAGTTTATCGATCATTTTATACCTCAAATTCGTAAAAGCCACGACTTCCACCACAATAAGTCACCATGATGTATAGTAGGGTCCGATTAGAATAAGTAGAACACCGCACCATCATAACCATTATTTCTAATTTTAAATATATTATATAATCTATAAATGTCAATGTCAATAAATAAAAAATATTTCCTATATTCCTACAATATTAACACACTACTAAACCCCCAGTAGGTGGCAACAGCCAATGAATTACTTCGCCAAATGATGATGTAGCTGTGTTCTTCTTATTGTAATCAAACTATCAATCTGCATAATATCATACCTTCTTTTTATAGTATCATGGATAATGATCACCTTCATTAACCTTAAATTTTACATATTTATCCAAAGATTAATGTTGACTATAATTTTTAATTTTTATTATCTTTCCCATTTTTTATTTTACACATCCCGAAGAAAACCGTATTAAGTAACTTGTAATTTTTGCCTTATTTAGAAACAAAACGCTTTCTACGGCAGTGGCGACTCGTAAACAAAATGTTGGGGCCACAATAACAGAATATAAATCTCAGTGCAGATATAGATAAAAAATGTTCAGTGTTTCGAATATACCATTCTACACTCACATGGATATTAGCTTATCTACACACAGACTACAAAACGCAAACGTATGTTATTGCGTTCAACTGAACGAATATATTTCATATCCATTCTAAGTAGTGAGAACACTGCAAAAAAAATTAAATCCACCAATCGCAGTTCATATTTCAATCAACCGGCTGCTATTATTTTTGAAATTTGAAATAAGTGACAATTCTGTCAAATTAATTGTCAGTATATTTCTTAGTTATTGAAATTAAATTTACATTAAAATGAGTTGTTCTTGTGAAGAATCGATAAATAATAGTATTTCTATTTTTATTCTGTCTATTATCATAAATAATTTGTTAATTTTAATAAAACTACATATATCAATTTAATTACGAGTATTAAAGTAAAAATATTAAGCGCATCGATGGTGGTGAGATCAGCACACTTGCCTTTCATGCGAAAGACCTGAGTTCAAATCTCGAATGGGGACAAATTAGTTCTTTTTTGTTAATTTTATTTTATAAATTAGTAAAAGCCATCAAGTCCAGTTAATAGACCTCCATTTTCTCTTTAATGTCTAGAAATAAATATATTGGCAATTAATGGCCTATTGACGGGAAGTTAATATATTAATACCGACTGCTAAATAAAGGCCATGTTCCAGGCACATGAGCAGACAGGCGATTCGATCGTGCCTCTTTGACCAGTAGTACCGTTTGAACTATAAATGCTATACAAAAACAGAAGGCATTCCAATATAGCAGACATTTTATTTAATTCAGCTATATAATATAATAGAGAAAAAAATTTCTACAAAAAGATTTTCATATATATTAATTATTTTATCTTAATGACCTAAAATAATTTTTAATATTTGTAGATTTTCGTTAGTGAGTCGTAAAAAAATATACTCGAGTGGATTGTCCATGTTTTGATAAACACTTATTATTGGCAAAAATTAACTTTTTTCTTTTTGCCTTTTTATTGACAACTTATAAAAATTATTTACGTACTAAAATAAAAATAAGGTAATACTAAATACTAAGCGCCCAAACACTTTTGATTACAATAGTTCCCATACGTATATTTGAATTATGATAGATCGCAATGGAATGAGACATTACTATTATTATTATTAGGGTGTTCTAAACACAAACACCAGTAAATGAAATGCATAATTTTGCTTGTGAAATTCCTCATAAAATGTCTCAAGTTTTTTTAACATACAGTGCTGGCAAGATAAGCATTCTTTTGTTGGATGTGATTTTGTGAGCTAAAAATTAGAATTTTGAAAATGGAAATAACGGACATTAATTGCATTGCTTATGATTTTAGCGGCCCCTTAACGAGATACAAAAATGTTACGTATGTGTGACACTTCGTTTGAAATTTAATCCCCCTAGAAGGCGCTAATATTAAAAACGAAACAAAAGTTCCTCAAATAATAAATGGACCACTTAAACGTATTGAAATGGGTACATCAAATAGTAATAAAGCACTTAAACATATTTAGAGGAGTAACTCAAATATTATATATATAACAAAAAAGGGGGTTGCTGCCGGGCTCCACGAGGTTTGATTTCTGGGTACGAATTTTATGATACATCATCCCCTTGTCAATAAAATATGAAGTGTTATTTTTAAATCTTGAAAAAATCCATTGTTTCTGAATTTCGTGAGGGGGGTAAAGTTATCGTTGACACATTCATGTATATATATTTGGAGTAGATTTTCTTGTATTAGAACAAATATTTCCGAATTTCAGTAAACATGTGGAGTTATCTTCAACACACCTTTGCCAGTTTAATTCAATTGTAATTTTATTTAAGTATTGGAAAAACGGATCGCTTTAGTAAATCATTTTATAAGGATTTTGTTATAAATAATCTCAACTTACTATGCCTTAAAAGGAAGCATTATTTTTGAGAATATTTTTTTCTTGAAAGAAAAAACCATCCACTGACAACTATAGAAAATTAAAAATATAGTCAGATAGTGAGAATATATTAGTTAATTAAAATCCTGAATAGTTGTTTCTAAATAATTACTTACATTAATAGATGACAAATCTAAACGTTCTAAAGTTTTGCACTCTACAGAAAGGTATTTTAAGTGGTCAGGCGAAATACCCTTCCAGCCACTTAAATTTAGACCTTTTAGTTTTTTACAATGTTCACAGAGTGCTTCCAGGTAAGCTTGAATGTCTCTAATCTTCCATTCACCTAAAAATAAAAAAGTATGTATATGAAAGTTTTTGGTTTGTATTCAGTATTTACCCATAGTTAAATCTTGGCATTCAACAAGTCGATTCAATATGAGCCAATGCAGACGCAAGTCAGTTCTAAACCTTTCCTTTACGTAATTTAAATCGGCTTTGTGCCATAATTTTGGCGCCACTGACACGTCTCGCCATAGCCGGCAAACTTTACCAAACCTAAAACAATACAAAATGTTATTAAATTAATAAACTAGTGAGTGGCAGCTGAAACATTAAAATAAAGAAAGGGCATTTAAAGTTATTTAACTCACTTTATTAAAGAAGGTAAGCAACCATCTTGGACTACAACGTGATCGAAGATTTTTTCTAAAATCGCTACAGGAAGTTTATCTGGGTCGCCCCATACACTTTGTTCCAATGGTTCCTGTTCTTGGGTACTAGACACATCATTTTCCGTTGTCCATGGTTTGGAACGTTTCGGCCTCTTTTCATAATCGGAAGCGTCCGTATCTGAAGTTGCTTTGTGTTTTTTCCGTCTGCCTGATTTCTTTTTACTTGGTGGTATCTATAAAATTAAAAATAGTTGTTTTTATGTCAAACAGCAAACCAGTTTACTTAAAAACAGCTCAAAATAGTAATGATTTATTTATTTGTATATTTATGGGCGAGCCAATTTAAGTTACAATAAATTGTTAAAAATTACATTGGTATATTTTAATAATGTGCTTAAATTTATTTACAAATGAAACAAACAAGATTATCCAGAGTTTGTCATCCAAGTATCAGATGAATGTTATGTTGGGAATGGGGTTTTAATACACTGCGACCTAAAATAACTATTGTGTCCTCTTCTGTCGCTAATACAAGGAAATGTCTCAATGTCTATAACGACCCTTCCAATCCTATTTTCTCAAGGAAGTGTAGGATTTGTAGTGGCTTCAAGTTAGGTAAATCTCCTCTTCTATTTGATATGCTCCTAGGTATAGTGACCTTTGATTCTGCAGTGCTACTCATTCAGTCAGAATGCGAATGGAGGTTTCATCCTCACAGAATCTGCACTCACTATCTTCTACTACTCTCAGTTTACTAAGGTGTTCTTTGAGTCGGCAATGCCCAGTAAAGATCCCTGTTACAATGCGTAGCCTGTTCTTGCTCAGGAAGATACAGGCTTCCTATCTTTTCCGGTTATAATCACCCAGAAATATCTTAGCCCCAAAAGATTGTTCCAATTATCGGTTCTTCTACTGCCTAATTCTTTTTTAATATCTTCTAATATTGTATTACTGCTGATACCGCAGAACGACTCGGGTGCCACAAAGGGTGTTTGAGCCCCTTTCCTTGCGAGACTATCTGCAATTTCGTTACCCTGTACCCGGTTATGTCCCGGGACCCCAGTGAGAGTAACTGTATTTTCATCGCCTAGCTCATTCAATTTTTCTAGGCGTCTCCTGGCCATTTATGAGTAAGTATCAGAAGAATACAACTGTTGTTAAAAGTACTATTAAGTCTATAAAAAGGAATATAAAATATTTGTGAATGTCTGGTATTACGAATAATAACAAAATATTAATTTTCGATAGATATTCAGGACAATCATATCTTCCATTTAGAATATTACAAACCAACATCAGTTCTCCGTGTTTTCTTCTGGCTTACAGAGAAGGTATCTTTTAAAACTGTTTCATTGTTGTATAATCATAATACATTTGTAATTTAAAGGCTATGTACCTAAGAAAATTGTTCTTTTCACGATCGATTTTTAATTTGTAGGTTACATAATGTGAGGACCATACAGAACAGTAATCAAGGTGACTCTAACTAAATAAAGTACAATAGTTTCAATAGCAGTTACATCAGTGAAGTCAATGGTAGTCCATTTAACAAATCCTCATTTTCATAGATTAAAATTAGATTACAATTTGTAATTTAATATCGAGAAATCGCAAATCGAAAAATGAGTATATCTGAAAAATAAGTGGCTGAAATAATTTGAAAATTTGGAAAACAAATTATTAAGACCATCCCCGAATCCCAAAGGTGAAAACACATACTTGGAGATTTTAAAAAAAGCCTGTCAGTGCTGGGATTCGAAACCAGACATCTTTGTTCTGTACACAAATGTCCTATCCCTAGACCATCACGATAATGTCAAGATTCCTAGCCAGTTTGATATGCTAATTCAGTCCAAGCGCCGTTTTAGGTTCGTTCTCAAATCTTCAAATAACTATAAGAGCATCGGTGTATATGATAAATGCATTGATGCATACTGAGCCCATATCTTCGGCTGAGTGAGTTTAATTTTTAATGTACGATAAGAGACGTAAATCTATGTATGAAAATTGTAATTTAATATCGAGAAATTGAAATTCGAAAAATCAGTAGATCTGAAAAATAAGTGGCTGAAATAATTTGGAAATTCGGAAACAAATCTCAAAAATCCTCCTACGAATTATTAAGACCATACCCGAACCCCAAACACATACTTGCAGATTTGAAAAATAGTCTGTCAGCGCTGGGATTCGAACTCAAGACATCTTTGTTCTTTTTGTACACAAAGGCCCTACCTCTACACCATCGCCATATTGACTGTCGAGATTCCTAGTCGGCAGTTTAATATGCTAATTCGGGCCAAGCGCCGTTTCAGGTTCATTCTCAAATCTTCAAATACCTCTACACAGCATCGGCGGATATGACAAATGCATTGATGAGCTTAGTATGCATTCGTAGGGGGATTTTTGAGATTCGTTTCCGAATTTTCAAATTATTTCAGCAACTTTTCATATATTTATCTATCTGAAGAGATGTGATGGTTAAAATTAAACATCTTTAATTCGTTTTACACTATTTAAAAGTTGACCCTTGATTGTGTAGTCAAATATAGTGGACTGTTGGGAACGATGGAACCAAATAAAGTCAGACTTTTTGTACCAGTCAAAAAATTTATTAATATTAGACTGTAAATCAATAGCATATCCAAAGTTGTTGACAATTTGGAAAAGTTTAAGGTCATCGTCAAAAAAGTAAAAAATTACTAGTCCGAAAACAGAAAGTTACATTGTTAACAAATAAGTTTAAAAAAAGTGGTCCCAGATGGGAACCTTGGGAAACTCCAGAAGTAAGAGCGTAATCGTGAGAATAGTAACGTTTTACTTGTGTTCAGTCAAGAAGATCGCTTATGGTTGCAATCCATAAGCCAACTAAACTAAATTTAGTTAGTTTTTAAATTAACAACTCATGAATTACTCATCAAAAGCCTTGAAACAGTAGGTATATACAGCATCTACAGGTAAAGTGTTTAACACAGCATATTTTTTTCTTTATTCATAACAAATATTATATTGTATTTAATTTAATTGCATTATTTATGAATAAACATTATTATTATTATTATTATTATTAAAAGAAAGTTAGCATAGGCAATCAAATTCAGTTAAGTTGACTTGTAGGCGCAATAGCCAAATTGTTGTGGAATTATGATACTAGAGCAGTCATAAGTCCATTATTATGATTTCAAAGAGCTTTGGGATTATGATAATTGTAGACACAGGACTATAGTTTTTAATGTCAGATTTTTTACTGGACTGTGTGGACATTGGTGTGACATATCAGAGTTTCTAATATTCAGGTAAATCTCTTGTATCCAATGATTTGTTATAAATAAAAAGACAATTAGAAGCTTTAGATTTTCAAGAGTAAGGGGGAATCATATCAGGACCTGGTCCCATTCTTGTATCAAGTTTATAGTGATGGTTTTTAGTACAGGCGAAGTTACAAATCTGCAACTCATTGTGATTCCCACCTTATCTGGACTGAGACCCCACAGTCAAACTAGTAGCATAAAAAAACTAATTAATTTTAAACCAAAGACGAGAAGTATTGAGGTCCTGTACCCCTTGAGCCTGCCCATGTAAAAATATATGGGCCCTGTACCACTGACTATGTAAAAATATTTAGTTCCTTTACCTCTTAAGCCTGCCCATGTAAAAATATTTGGTCCTGTTACCCCTTACGCCTGCCCATGTAATAATATTTGGACAATTTATAACTTAAACCTGTCCATGTAAAAATATTTGGATTATTTATCCTATAAGCCCGCCCATGTAAAAATATTTGGGCCCTTTACCTTTTTGATCCTAATATCAAGATTCAGATGCGAGTTTCATTCTGGAGTTTAATAAAACTCATGCAAAAATCATCGTTACTCCACCATTTTGAATGTAATTCGTGTAAGATTCACATTTATTTCAATTTAAAACCATTATTTTCAGTTATAATAAATAACCATTCGAATAAAATCGTTCTAAAGACATTAAAAAACGTTAAATAATGTATTTGACGTTTAAGAATGAAAGCAATATAGAAAAAATGTCTGTGGTTCCGTGGTTGACAAGTATGGTATCTAGCGAAATCAGTATCTGTGCCACAGTGCATAAAATAAGCTCCATAAAAAATGTATTACATTTTAAAAACACTGAGGTAACCGAAAATTCTGAAATTCGATAGGAAATTATTAAATAAAATTAAAACTGCAAGTCGATTAGACCTTCCGTTATGGTGTTAGTGTACATACATGCACACCCACAGACGGACATATAGATAAATAGTTTTCAGAATTAGAGTGGTCAGAAACGTAGAGAAAAGTTTTAAAAAGTTGGACCAAAAAAATTTTTTATCAACAGGAATGCAATACATATTATTCCCAATTAAAAATATGAAATGTACCATTAATCAATAAAATAAACAAAATTGGAGCACAATGCAATTCCTGTGGGACACCTGAAGAAAAATTAATCATAGTAGATACAAAGTACTCAAAAATTCCTCAATTTATATAGGGTTTGTTCGGGTTTCTTTAAAACTTCATGCAAACCACTGGAACACTTGAATTCCAAATTATTCCTCGTGTACAACTATTAAACTCTCAACTAATCCACTGATAGTTATCAATATATTTTTAAAGAACCGAACAGACCTATAGTAATGGTGAATGATCAAATCATCAGATTTTAGAAATAATATCACGTTTATATTTAAATAATTTTGTGAATTGTAAAAAACAAATTCTAAAACTGTTTTCACTTTTATGTATCTTACCTGTGTGCAAAAATTGCTCTTCTTAATCCTGATTTTAATAGTATTCTTGTCTCCACTGATCTGGCTCTGGTACATGGTAATATGGGCTTTGCGGGGACGCCCCCTGCCAGGTCCACTGGTCAGCTTTTTCTTTTTGTTAAGTTTCTTGATGACTCCATTGCGATGCTCTCTAGGCTCATAATTGACGTCGTCATCAAAAGATTTGTCATTGTTGATGTTATATGGGTCCATAGACTCATCTTCTTCTTGGGAGTCCATATCGTAGTCAGCTTTTCTATAAAAATAATAAAAACAAAATTTTAGATAAAAGAATTTGTTAGTTAAATTATATTAAAAAAGTAGATGTACAATAGTGATTTAAAAAAATTAACATCTGGCTGCAACATCATTCATTAAAATTTGTGTCAGATAAACTGGTTGAATGATATAAATTTCAAATTATGCAGTCTAATAAAGTTATGGGGCCATTAGCTATTGAGGGATTTAACAATCCGGTTGTAAAATTAGCTAATTTGCTAATAACGATTTTTTAAATAGATAACATTTTTTTGCATTATCAAATTAGTTTTTGTATGTCAAGTATCAGCTGATCTAATGGTGATGAAACTGAAAGATTTTTGTAGTTTTGGTAGCAGTCTGAATATGCATTGGCGGCGGAAGGGGGTCTGGGGGGAGCTTAGCACCCCCATGTTACTATCTGTCAATAAGATTTTAAGTATACTCTACTCTAGCATGGTTCAAGCCCCCTCCCAAGGAAAGTTATTCTGCTGCTAATGTGAATTTAGTATGTCAATAAGCAAAACAAAAACCAACCATTCTGTCATTGATTTTGACATATTATGAGTTGTTTAGTTTTATTTTTGTATACATTGTTAACATAAAAATATTTTAAAGGTTTGTAACTAAATTATTTTTATTGAAGTTATAGTAGTGGTATGCTTTTAGATGAATACAATCTTGAAAGCTAATAGGAATAAAAAAATGTAAGTTCATGCCTATACTCTATTTCTATTTGTTGTTTTACAGAATTGATTACTAAATGATTATTTAAATAATGTTATCTACTAAATCACTTTAATGAAATAATAAAAGTTCAAAAACTAGGTTTCTAGTCTACAAATAACTGTATTTTTTTACCCATCACTAAAGCGCCACAGAGAAGAAAAATTAGTGATATAGGTAATATACCAAAAATTATCCATCACTGTCAAGTTAAAAATTAGCTAGGGTAGGAAATCTATTGAAGATAATCCAACATTTAATATACTATTAAGAGAGACAGGAAACCTGGAAATGATAACAACCACTAACTCATTACAATGGTTTTATATTATTAAAACACATTTTAATATACAAATTTATTTACATAAGCATTGATTATAAAAATTAAAAAGCAAATAGGTTTGAAAATGTAAAGTATTATCTATAACTGCAGCTGGTGAAGTGGTTAATGATGAAGGGAATGAATTTACTAGGAGGAAATTTTTGCTTTATTCTTCGGCTAAGCTGGTCTGATAGATCTCTATCATCTATATCTTTTTCTCATCTGAATATCAGCTTCATTACAATGTTCACTGAATTCCAATAACATATTCTTGGTACATTTTCTAGTACCCTTCTTTGAATTTTTCAGGACAGGCATGTTTTCTATTTGATTTTTCTTGTAAATTCAAGTTCAACGCTCTTCTATTCTCTTTCCATTATTGTCATTTATCAATGTCTCTAAGGTTGCTATTACTAAGAAACTTTACCTTTTTGTCATTGGTCTATAACATTGGATGTAGTAGAATGCTCATACAAAATTGTAGATTTCGACCAATAATATGGAATCATTTAATATAAACAAAGTGATGAGATAATTATAAGTAAAAGATTAAATTTATGATAATTTTATAATAGGTGTGTTTATTTTATCAAAACAAAATGAGAAAGCTTACATTATTATTATAACATAAGTACTTGATAATAAATAATGTTTTATTAAATTAGAAAACTAATTTATTTGTATTCTTGTCTCATTAATGATTATCAGTAAATTTTAGTACTTATTTTCTTAATTTTAAAGGTTTCCTAAAAAATTATGATTGTGAAATACCGATGAAGGAATGACCATTTTTAAATGTCTTGTTTGCAGAACAACATAAACACAAGCAAGTATATACTAGGAAGCATAAATATGAATAATTTAGTAAATTAGTTATATTAGATAACTTTCTTAAATAATCTAAATTTAATTTAAAATGCATTGATTAAAAGTTGTAAAAACATTTAACATGTAACTCTACATCCATGTAGGTAGAACTAAATGATTTATAATTGAGAAGGTGATATAAATTTAAATAAACCCTAAATCCTATGATTGCATTTTGGCAGAATCACATGCATATAATATAAAAGAAAAAAATATTAGTGCAGTTATATTGAGAATAAGGTTTAAACAAACCTTATATATCCATTAAATCATCATAACAATTAAAAATAGACAATTATACAGTTGTATTAAAAAAAAAAAAAAACAGAATACCAATAGGTATAGGCTATATACTCCCTTATTTGACTGCAAAAAGTGTCAGATTGTGTTTTTTGTAGTTGGTTACAGAGGAAGGGGATGAACAACCTGTACTATGTTCCAATGGTGGGAGGGGTCATGTGATTTGTGAAATTCAAAATAAATTTGTTTATTGATTGATTTTCCTTTTCTGTCGGAAATGAAATACAGTACAAATTATATTGTATCAGGCATAGCCGGGCTTTTACAGTGAACATGTGCAACTACGTTATCCCCACTATCGCTATGTTTTCTGGTTTAGTCACTGATATTCGGTTCGGCTAATATCCCACTACCATAATATCTTCTAATTCTAGTCGACCGTGATGACTGGCTGTTGCCATTTTATTAACTTGTATACTAGTCGTATGCCTAACACGAATAAAATAAGCACTGTATATGCTTCTAGATATCAATAACAATTAAAAAAATCCCTTTGCAAGCATTTCCTGTCATCTGGTGACCTGTTTTTAAAATATGAGAAAAATCAGTACCAAAAGTCGAAAGGTGGTTTAATTGCTCTCAAAATGTTTGTATGGCTTCCAATGATTTTATCATCTACAATAATGAAATACATAAGTACAATACAAGATATGTTAATAATTTTTATATTCCACAAACAAGACTAGCTATAGCAACAAAATCTATTTTTATAAGTGGATTACTTGAATTTAATGCTTTGTCTAGTGAAATTAAATGAGTACCTCTCTACCTCAGTTTAAAAAATGTTTAATACAATTTATTTCCAGTCCATAAATTAAATTAACTTTGTATGTTTACTTTAATATGTATTTATTTTAACTTTAGTACTAAATATCTTACTCTTAGTACTGATTTTATTACTAATTCCATCAAGATTTTATTTACTCAACTGAATTTGTGCAGACTGACGATAATATGTAATATTTAAAAAAAAAATATGTGTGGCACTCAGGGACTGTCGCAGTAAAGCTATTGCATAGCATTTTTTAACAACTTATGCAATTATAATTATTTATTTTATTTATGCAGTATTTTTTTTCTTTGATATTAATTCAAGTTTTTTCTTTGATATTAATTCAAGTTCACTTTTTGAGCATGGTGACTGATAAGAAAACAATTTTTTTTTCTTTTATTGAATAAATGAGAAGTTAATATTGTTTAAAATATTTTTATTATCTTACAATACATGTAGGTTATTCAGGAATTTTTATAATTGAAACTATAGGTTTATGGTAACTGAAATAAGAAACATAAGTATGAGACTTGATATCCTCTAAATATCTGGAAAATACCGCGTCAATGGTGGTCCCATATTGTGTTGTGGATCATTATTCATTTTCAAATTCAATTTTTTCTGAAATTGTGTCTAAAAGAGATAGAATCAGTTATGAGCAGTTAGCAGCTAGTCTACAGGCATATGTACGTCTATTCGCACGCACACAAACACCGTGCTGAAGTCTGCCGAACTGAAACGACGTTAGACGATGCACGGCTTTCAACGCCGCACCGCTGTGCCGGTTGGAGTGGGGGGTGTTAGGTTTATTTTCGTTACGGAATTTCTTTTTCGATTTTTCGACTTTTCGATTTTTTTGATTTTTCGATTTTCCGATTTTCTTTTATTGAATAAATGAGAAGTTAATATTGTTTAACGCCGCACAGCTGTGCCGGTCGGAGTGGGGGGTGTTAGGTTTTTCTTCGTTACGGAATTTCTTGATTCGGTCGCCGCGCTCAAAGCCCGCGATAAAAGCCATGCAATAGCTTAAAAACTAAGTAATATGTATTAGGACTTCCTATATTAAATAGAGATTCTATAATAAGAGTACCTATTTTCCTTGCAAGCATTTTTTATTCAATAGTTCTACCCCATTCAATCTTTTTAATATTTTGTTCCCATAAATCAAGTAAATGGTGGTGACTATTTTGACATTTTATTTACGAAACCCCTAAATAAAAAAATGCTTACAATGACAATACTCTTATTTGAGAGTCATACAAACACTTTGAGAACAATTAAACCACTTGTTGACTTTTGATTCCTTTACACCTATTTTAAAAAATGGGTTACTCTTTGCCAAGTTGATTTCTTTTGCCTATCGCCTCTTTTGTAGACACAAAAAATGCTTGCAATATCACCTTAGATTCAAACATAATACATTAAAAGATAAGTGCATTACCAGCAAAAAATTAGAAAATCCATCGATAAGCAACTTTATTTTTAATTTCACAGGTCACATGGACCAAGGATTAAACCGCCTTGGACTTATGGTGTACAAATTGATTGAAGTATGTGGACGTTCGTGGAAGTCTGTGGAAATATGCATAAAATTCCATCATATGGTGCATATCATATAAGGACCTATCGAATTGATTGGTTCTCAGCCATTCAAAACTAATATTTTTAGTTAAAATTTGAAATATTTTGTTTTAGTTCGGTTTCACCTTTTTTTTTTGTTGATTTTGAATTCTTAAATATAGTATGTTTAATTTTTTGTTTTATTTTTTCATAATTTGATTACCAGCCAATTTTTTTTTATAATTTTCACATCCATAGGTTACACTCTGTAGATGAAAAGTAATTAAAAAAAATTGGTACATTAAAGTAATTGTCTATCAATATAGAATATATTGAGTACATACTTCATTTATACCTAACCAGGACATATTTATAAAGCATACTCTCTGTATCTGTAAGGTGGAGAGGGTGGGTTGCTCCACATCACTCAAGCCGCATTAGACCCAGTATGCATCCTCCAGGGGCATATAGGAACTGCCTCTCAACTTGTCAAAAACCTGCTGGTTGTCTCCAGAGACAGCTATCTTCCCAGCTCCTCATTAAAGTCCTCCAGGTTATTAACTCATCAAAAACCTGCTGATTATCTAGAGACAGTCATTTCTCTAGCTCATCAAAGTCCTGCACATTATCAACTCATAAAAAAAATGTGTTCCAGTGGTGTAAATAGAGGGGAACAGTTGCCACTAAACCTGATAGCACGCCACTGATTAAAGTTTCCAAGAGTGACATTATGTTAAAATTGAAAAAATATTTAAAGGTGTTTTTGATTTACCTATTGCAAATTTTGAATTTGAATCTTTCAACACCATGTATCTCAATAACTAAGCCCTTTCAGGGTTTATGTTCCTATATCAAACTTCATCAATTAACGAGAGCTATCTGTATATATAAGGTTGACCACCAGTAACTTCATCAGTCGATATCTCAGAAACTGGGTGTAGAAAAAAAATTGAAATTTTGGGATCCGCTAGAGTCTTGGAAGTCTATTTAGGTAAAATGGTTTTATCTATTGAGTACTTCTGACTATACTGGAAATAGACATTAAGTATCTTATTTTAAATACTATATATTATTACATTTTTGGATTCTACTCAACATTCAAGACAGATTTTATGTCTCATGTCATATAACTAAGTCTAAGCATTGTTTACATAGTAGGGCTTGCAAACATCATTTTTAACATAAAAACTTAATAAGACTCAGGTATATCATTTATAATAGAATAGGACTTGATATACAAAATCTGCCTAGATTCGCCAATTTTCCTACATCTTGTTTCTGAGATATCGATTGATGCAGTTCTTGGTGGTCCATCATGCATATGGCATATTAGTGGGATACCCTGGAATTATAATTAAGTTCAGAGTGGAAGTATGTGGAATTCCAGTGGAAGTACGTGGAATTCTAGTGGAAGTACGTGGAATTCCAGTGGAAGTACGTGGAATTCCAGTAGAAGTACGTGGAATTCCAGTGGCAGTACATGGAATTCCAGTGGCAGTACATGTAATTCCAGTGGAAGTAAATGGAATTCTGGTGGAAGTATATGAAAATACGTGGAATTCCACTGAAAGTACGAGGAATTCTTTAGTTGTAGAGAAATTACTTAAGGGCGCGGAATTATGGCATAAATTTTTCAGGTGGTTTGCCTCTCGACATGACTACTTCCACCAGCGAAACATAGTACATGTTGTTCACCCCCGATACGATGTGCCACTTTTTGCAGTCAGATGAGGGGCTAATATTAGTGTAAATTTGAGTTTCAAAGAGAGTTGACTGTTAACAAATCATTCTGTCATTGAAAATTAACATATACATTAAATATTTTTTTTAATATCGATGTCAGGTCATAAAAAGTAAGTAGTTTAAAGGCATTTAAAGGTATGTACCTAATCAAATTGTTTTTAGTGTTTACATGTATACCATCTTTAAAACAATAGAAATAAAATGCTAATGAAAACATTACTTCTATTTGTATAATTGTGCTGTAACTGTCATTTGTCACTGAAACACAAATTATATAATCACTAATATACCTAGCACTTTACATTATGATAACAGCAGCAGTTTCACACCAATTTAAATCATTTACAAAAAGATCTGTTCATAATATTTAACATTTTCATTCATTAAAAAGTTAAATACCTATACTACAAATTATTTAAGTATGTCTTCCTTAAAGTTTCAAGGTACTGTTTCATCTTAACAAATATGATTATAATAATAATAATTGGTATTGGTTCTGCAGATTAGCAATGCTAAACTGTCATATTTCATTGTCTCAGTTCAAACAAAAATGTATTCATAGTTTGTGATTAGATATGTATATATTAATGGTTAATTGTTACTTATCTTTTAAATTTTTAACATTAATGTAAGTAGTTCAATGTTGAAAATTTGATTATTTTTATTCAAGTTGAGAATTTTAAATGGTCAAATATATAGGTATACTTACCCTTTTTTAGCTCTTTAAATTTAACATAGCTTAGATCCCATCCAGTATTATTAAAGGACAGTGTCTTACTTACTGTTATAATTTTTCAATACTTTTTTATTGTGGAGAAATATGCATGTGTTTGAAAAGTGGTTTTACTACTAGATTAGTGTGGATTTTGAATAATTGTTTTGCTTTTACCCCAAAATAATCAAATTCTTTGTAAAATTTCACCTTTCTTTGTTGCACACAACATTAACATTTGTTTTCTACGACTATATTTTCAATGTAAAGTAATTGAGCAAATATATTTCAAAAATTACCCATCAACACTGTCTTCTTCAGTTTCTTCCTTATTCTCTACAGTCTCAGGACTTTTTTCACTAGACTCAGTGGTAGTTTGAGTATCACATTCAGTGTCTATGTCTGCATCAACTTTAGCACTATTTGAAGACACCACATCCTCACAAATATTATTGTTTGGCATTAGATTACACATATCACCATTAGTTTTTAAATCATTGTCACTTTTTAAAAATTTAGAACAGCTACTTTCTGAGGAAGGTTGCTCATTTAGACAGTTTATTTCGGACATTATGCACGGTTTTCTTACATTTTACATAAATAACTAGTTGTATTATTAAAGATGTTGATGAAATTAAGTAGGCAGGAGCATTTTTGGGGGTACACTCATTCCCTGAAACAAAAATATTAAATCACTGTAGTTTTCTTTTCAGTAAACTGTATTTAAAATACAGGAATGAACGAAACTATAAATAAAAATAAAATTTGTCAAAGAACAACATTTGAAATCGGCGCAACTTTCTTATAAGGACAAAAAGTAAACAATTTTAAAAAATACATTTTTTAAGAAGTTAATTTGAACTTTCCAAAATATATAACTTTTAAAACACTGCATAAATATCCACTAATTCACAAATTGAGCATTAATTCGATAGAACTTGGAATTTGCTAACGTTTAAAGAGAAAAATCGTTATCATTACTAGGAATCCATTGTACATTACAAAGAAATACAATTTTCTAGGCTACTTACCACTTGTATTTTAACACCAAATGGTAAATCACACTTCAAATTACATTTTACCAACAACTTGCTTATTTAGTTGTTGAAAACTTTTCGTTCTCATCAAAGCTAATGTTGATGACCTTGTTACCCAAGATGCTGATATTTTTTATTTTTGTGAAATGAAATCGACGACAGCACCTCATAACTAGTTCATTTGGAACTAGAACCGTTGGTCGCGCCATCTAGTGTTTGAGATAATCATTTCTTAAAGGTTCCTTTAATATTTTGTTCGGTCGCTGTAGAAAGTAAAAACTGACCTCTTATTTAAGATCTAACAAACTTTAGTTCTCATTTAGTAAAAGCGTTGTAAAAGCCTTTTACGGTTTTTAACATTTATTTTTAATTTACTCTAAACAATATAAATAGAAATTAATTTTTTAATATTTAAACTTTATTTATTTTTCCTAGATGGCGTTTTCGTTAGTTACTCAATGGTACGTGACTTCCATGTATATACAGTAGATGGTGCTTTCCAGACTAATTTTAATTCTGTCTAAAAGTTACCGCGTTTGAGAATCCTCATCGGATGCATTTTTTACATCTCGAGCGTTTTTTATCCACATCGGACACATCTGTCCCATTACATTTACGTATACTGAATCATGTGATCAAAGATTTTTTACATCTCAGATGCATCCGATGTGGATTCTCAAACCCGGCAATTACTACATTATTTTTTATATTTTTCAACATATTTTTTTGAGGTGGATGTGGAATAAAATTTATTGATAGAGCAGGGACAAAAGTTGGAAATGCTTTTGGTAGGTGGAGAGGTGGTAAACTTCGAACTCCGCCGGAAAACTTCGAGAATTTCGCGGTAATGTTAATTCGCCAGTGTTGTATCTTAGAATAAAAATAATACCAAACATTTTAAATTGTTACCGGCGGAATCGGGCAATCGTTTTTATTTATGGGTTAGAAATTATTATTTAAATAATTCTACAAAATTTCCTCAGCTACTCACAATTTATTAAACTATTTAGGATTTAGGTTGATTTAGGTAGGTAGGTACCAGCAGTGGCGGATCCAGAACCTATCCAAGGGGGAGGGGGAAATCATGGCCGACGAAAGGGGGGGGGGGGGTGTCCGGGAATAATTTCCGGGGCCCGTTTTTTGAGATTTCACTAAAAAGGAGAAAGTTTTTGCTTCAGGACCTTTTTTTAGAGATTTCATTAAAGAGGAGGAGAAAGGAGAAGTTTCTGCTTGAGGAGCTTTTTTTAAGAAATGTGATCGTGATCGAAAGGGCTTACCTACTTAATGTTTTTATAAAATTTTTGTCGCGGGGCACGACCTGAAAAATTGTCCTGGGGCTCGACCTGGCACTCAGCGGCCCTGGGGGATATTTGCTGAATTCACAGCGTGGGCTGATTTTTTTCATTAAATTTCAAAGGTAAAAAGGTATCAACTATTCTTTTTACGATTATTATATAGTCTCAATGGGGAGGGGTGGGCCTCCTCCCTTGGATCCACATGTGCTATTTATGCGAAATTGTTATTAGAATATCTATAAAATAATTTTTTTTTACACCCCACATAGATGACGCACAGGCTACAAAACGAAAAAGTATGCTCTTCTATATTGCGTTCATCAACTGAACAAATATATTTCATATCCATTCTAGGTAGTGAGAACACTGCAAAAAATAAAATCCACCAATCACAATTCATATTTTGGTCACCCGGCTATTATTTAAAAAAAAATAAATAAGTTAAATAATTCTGTTAAACTAATAACTAATTGTCAGATTAGATGAGAAAAATTTTATTTACCTATTAAAAGTATGACAATAAATCAAAAATATATTTCAAATCTATCGAGACTTGAGTCTTTTCATGCGGGTCCATATATGGTAATTATAGCAGCCCTCACTCCTTACCGTTTCGGTATTATTGAGGTATTTTGGATTTTTTTTGGAATCAGAAATGGTAAATGGGTACATATTATGTCGTATTTTAGTTATGGCTTTTGTCCCCTGAAAAAGCTAGAAAAAACATGGTTGTCCTTGTGCGTACATTGGTCTAGTCTTTGGTTGTATGTATCCCACAGGCAGAGTGATTGATGTACCTTCTACCGGAGCTACAGTCGCAAATATGAAAATTTCCCGCTTGGAGCTTTGATGGCCGATCCACCGATCACACTCGATTAGTCGGTAGTCCGGTGTCTGACTAGTTCGTGTAAATAGTCGAACTTCGGAGTAAGATGAGATGCTATCAGCAGAGACAACTATGCTATTCACTTTATCTGAGACCGTTAAGGGGGATGTTACTGTCTATGTCGATAAATGTCCAGTTTAGTGTGTATACAGCCGTGTTTTCTACGCACGTTGGCTCCCCGATAAATGCGAAAGATGTCATCTTTTACATATCAGGAAGGCACCGTTTGTAGAAATTTTGGGCCGTTTCCAGTACATAGCCTTTAATTAGTGGAGTCTCTGTCTGTGCATGTCGGCTATTCTGGCATAACGGTCGTACCCCAGTGCTAGCAAGACATCTGTGTTGAGCTACTTAAAGTTTGTTGTAGTGTGAATTTGCCACCGAGCAAAAAATTGGACATCCATATGTCAGGATGGGCCTTAAAATAGTTTTAAACATAAGGAGTTTGTTAGAAAGAGTGAATTTGCTTCTCCTATTCAGAATAGGGCAAATATGACTTTTAGCCACTATGTCTTTAATAAGATCAAAAGTTAATCCCCTATCCAGCTAAAAACCTAGGTATTTCATTTTATTACCGATTTTTAATGGAATGTTTATGCCCCGAGCTCTTCTTTTTGTGGTCAACATGCTTTCCGTTTTCCCAGCATTGATTTTCATTTTGTTTTTAGATAGATACCCAGACACCACACCAAATCCTTTGGATATCTACTGAACATCCCAATATCCACTGAATGACCAGTTCATGGTGGATATCTATTTTATATCCATGAAATGTAATTTATAGACATGCAAATGTCCATAAATAATAGTAATTATATAGCAAATTATTAAAAAATTACGCCATTGTGCTCGCCATTGTGGCTAATAGTACCGTTCAGATATTTAAAATTAATTTTTTTAAGGTGTATTCAATATCCCATGGACATCCACTAAATATATCAAAGTCTAGGCGCGAACGCAAACCATCGTGAATATCCACTAGATGTTATTTGATTTTGCTTACTAAGTATAGATGGCGATACCACTTTCAAATCTACTCATGCTCGACCCGCCGTAATTGAGTTCGATCGAAATTTGTGTCCTAATTAGACTCCGTTAGAGACTGGAGTCGAGAATTTGTGGGCAAAATCAAAGGCAGAGTGATGAAAATATTTTGAGTGTTGAAAACGTTTTTTGACAGATCATTCCATAGACCTCGTGTCTCAGTATAGGCAAAGAATGCCTGTTTTTTTGATATAGGGCTCGTGTTAGCGGAACGCCATCTGGTGTTTATTAAAATATTACCCCTCATTGTCGGCGCATCGTGACGTACATACATCTCTATCCGAGCGGATTCTAAGGTCTACCTACTACAATTTAAATAAAACTACTAAGAACTTCAAAAAATTTTAATAGCAAAAAATCTCAACGGAAATACAGATGAAATCTTATTGCATCCTGTACAAATGGGCAAGTTTATTATAGTATGTAGTATAATACATTTAGAATTAAAATATACTAGCAGTGGATATAACATTTTTACGAACTAAATATTTTGACCTATTTATAAAAACCTTTCTTCTCTAAGTCATGAACTTGTAAAGTAAATCGTTTGTTTATTGTTCGTCTAATTATTTATGCTTCCCGATAGTTTTTTATTTTGTAATTAATATATATTTTCTTTGGTAAAATTTATTTAAATTGTGTAATTTTTAAATTACTTGTACTATAGTATTAACCAAACATATACAACCAAGGGTATCAACAACTATGAGTGGTGCCCATTTATTAGATCAGGTATCAGAATGTTGACTTGAGAAAATACCTTGCTTTTCCTTATATATTTGTTTATGACCTAAACAAGAAAAATTTCACTGTACTTACATAATATATAAAAATATTTAATCCACTTTCTCCTTTATAAGGTGGTCTATAGAGAAACTTCAACATTTTAGTTCTATCAAATAACTTCCTTTGTTCATTTATTAATTTTTTTACTAGGGTACCTACCTATATTTTTAAAATTATCTAGATCGAAATTTCATAATAGATCACCTAATATTTCTTTGAATTACATTGGTAAATAGGTTTTATAACTTTTGTACAATACAAAATTAGTTTTTTAATCTTAATTAAAATATATATTTTGAATTAGTTTGATAAAAACTTAAATCTCTTTTTGTGCAAACACAGTTTATACTTGCATCTGATTACTAAATTATTAAATAACATTTATAGATAATAAAATTTAGTTAAAGATACAGCCCATTTATTTGATTTTAAAGTAACCAATGTAACCCATTTATTATACTATGATTGAGCACCTTTAGCAGAGTCACCGTTTTTTAAACGTTCCCTGAAGCCTGCACGCCTATGAGTATGTATAATTTTACCTTATTTATTTATTTTTTATTATTAAAGATTACCTAAAATATACATTACAGTTAACACTTGTTTTATTTTATTTTAACAAACTGAATCAGTCAATACTCTTATAATGAGCAACATTTTATGTAAATACCATTTTACATTTAAAATGTAGACTTTAAAGCAAACATACAAGCTGTCCCAAATGTAAAAAAGGTTATAAATCGCATATCATGTTTTTTTTATTGAATTCTATTTCAAGTTAAATATTTAATATTTAAGACAAGAGATTAAAACTTATCTTACTTTTGCGACATTCTGTATAAAATATAACATTGATAATCGATCTATAATTATTATTAAATTTACAAGAGTAACAAGCTAGAATCACAGGAAAAGGGTATCAACAGTTTCAACATACACTTATGTATTCATAAATATGTATTGTATAAAAACAGGCCCCAATTTGCAGTCAATTTGTCATGAAAAAGGGGCAAATCAATTTCTATAAAATAGTTTGCATTATTTTTGTTTTGATTCAGAGATCAAAACACGTAGAGGAAACATTTAATAAACACAATAATTATAATTTAAAAAATTATCCGACTATGCTCTTACCTTATATTTTTTTAATACATCCAATAAG